TGTTAAATTCGTGCATAATTGATAACATGATCATTTGGATGATTCCATAATTGATTAATTGCTGGAAGTGCTTTTAAATTTTTGTTTTTCTGCTTCTGGTGCAATGTTAATCGATTAACTAGTTGCAGTACAAAACTGGTTAATTGATTAACCAGTGTATTTTCAGCCTTTTTCAAGTGGTTAATCGATTAACCACATTTGCAGTGTAAATAGTTAATCGATTAACACTGGACCAGAATGTGATTTTTGGTTGTTTTCAAGCATGCTTTAATATCTTTCCACCTCTAACCTTCATGGATTGATATGATGCATTTGTGTGGAGCAATTTTAACCTGTTTCATCATGCTTGATTATTTCATTGCGATTCTTTGACGCACAACTTTTGGTTTCCTTTGATAAATGCTTGAAATACTTATGTTGTTGCTTGGTGTGATGATCATGTGCTTTGCTCATTTTTAGCATGTTAATTGTTGATTATTGATGATTATCTTGCTGGACTTGCGATGCATGTTCGTATTTGCTTCCAATTCTGTTTGTCGCATGATCGTTTGAATTATTTAATTGATGTGAAAAGTATGTTGTTCTTGTTGAATGCTTAATGATGCAGTCTTGTTGAACACTTGTGTTTGATTCTTAATACATGTCCATCTTTGCTTGATACTTGTTCATGATTGATGCTTGTTCATGTTGATTATGTTAAAGTATGCTTGTTGACCTGTTTCTACAGTTGTTCTATTCTAAATTTACATGTTGTTGTATGTTGCCTTGCTTGTTGCTTGCCTTTTACACCTGTTTTTTGTGCTGAATTAGTAGCTGTTAAATGTTGTTGTGCTGCCTTGCTGGATTTTATTACTGTTTTATGCAGGAAGCGCTGTTGTAGCTGCTGTTTTTGCCTTGTTTTCTTGTTTTTTGTTGTTGTGTTATTGCATGCTCCCTTAAAGCCTTCTAGTCCAACTTAATTTCTAATTAAGCTTGGATTATGATAGACATTATGAGTTTAATCCATGCATTATAACAAGTAGGTTAGTCCCTTTAACCTCAACCTTAAGTCCACCTTTTGCATGCTAACATTAGGATATAATTTCCTTTCGCATCTCGACCTTAGGGACACTTTGCATGACAATGTTAGGACTGAGTTTCCCTTAGACCTTTCGTGCGTCTTTCTCTCATCTCATCTCAAAACAATTCTAACACACTTAATAAAGACAATGATTTGTGTGCCACGAGCCTTAAGCATATGGGAAATGATGAGTGACGGGTCTCCTCTTGCTTGTCTAGAGTGTTTAGCATACGTCCCGTCTAGGGGAGATATGCGCATATTCGTTCATATATCTTAGTCTTTAATGAAACGTGAATCACAAAGCAAATCAATTCACTTCACTAAAACTCATAAACAAACTTCAAACATTTTTATCCTTCGGGATTTGTTCTTCAAACTCATTTTCAGAAAAGAGTACGTTACTTTTTCGTTCTATCGCAAATAGGCCTCGACCCTAACTACTGGAATGAGAACTTAGAGTTACTCGTAAAAAACACTTAACCAACCAGTGGTTTCGTTAGCCGAACTACGGCTTCTCTAATTTTTGTACCATATGAAGATACGTAGGCACAAGAAGATGATGTCTTGGCGAGCAAACTTCCCCCCATCACCCGTAGTTTTTTGAAATACGATGACTCTGACTTTCCCATTGCACGAGGGAATACGTAGGCCTAGGACGACGATGTCTTATCGAGTCACCTTTTGTTTTTCCGCTTTTCGTTTCCGTTTCCATTTAGCAGTAGACTTTAGATAACACACCCTTTGGTTAGACAACAAGCGTGGATCCCGTTGAGTACAACGAATGCGATGGGATGGTAATACCTTCCTATAGCATAATCGACTCCCGAACCCAAGATTTGGTTGTGATGACCTTGTCTTCTCCCTTATCTTAGGTTTTCTTAGATCATTTTCTTTCCCTGTGTTGGGATAAATAATATTCGGTGGCGACTCTTCTGTTTGTTCCCGCCGGTTGTTTTTCGCAGTTGCGACAGCTGGCGACTCTACTGGGGAGTCTGATTCCCTATGCGAGTCAATCCTAGCGATTATGTGTTCTGTTCATTGGGTTTTTACTTCCTTATACTTTTATGTACATTATCTGTTGTATATTATTGCATTATCATTTTATTATCATATGATTACTGTTATCATATTGCTCTGCTGCTCTGCTGTTGGGTGGGATTGTTCTATGAGAGATAAGCCCAATATACAAGCTTAAGTATACACTTAGGATTAGAGTGGAGAGTAGTGTGGCTTGCGTGGCGTTTGACCACGTGTAGTTGACACGAAAATTGCGTCCAGGCGAGGTTTTCTTTGGAGATACTCTATCCTGCACGTCTGGGGCAGATGATAGGGTGTTGACTTAGAGAGCTTACGACTCAGGAGACAGTTCATTGGGAAGTCAGTTGAGACCTCCTTGATTGATGATGATGCTAAACCAGAAATGTTGAATGTATCATCATTTCTCGACCTGAGAGTCTGTGATACTGAGGATCTGCATAGGAGGCCATGTTCAAGACTAGAACCCACATGTGAGAGGGGATGGGTTTTTGTAGGAAACCTTGACTTTCAACCTACTCGATTTTATGGTTTTCCTGTTAGTGTAGACTTTTGATCCTGAGTATTATGGTTATTGTGGTTTTCCGGTTTTCTCGGTAAAGCAAAATTATGGCCTTATTCAGTCGACAATACAACAATTATTCAGCATATTTGGGAGCCTTGATCCCATGTCTTTGCATCCATGTCATCATAACATGTTTGCATTCTGGCATACATGTTCTTTTATTACCAATGATCTTAGATTTGGGTCTCGTAGTCGAGCTGTCTATCTTTTCCTTGTGGTTTTCCTGTGAAAACTTGAATCAAAGCACAACAAAAAGACTCTTCAACATTTGTCAATTACGATGCGGATTGTGGACCATGAGCCTTATGTATTGGAGAAGGAATGAGAGGGAGAATTCCTATCGTCATTCTGCATATTTTTGGATACGAGACGAATGACCCAGTTGTTCAGAGTATTTACCTCAACTCATAGACTTTAGTGCAATTCGAATCAAATAATTGACAATTCTTCTTCCCTGGAGACAACACTTCAACACTTCAATAATCAACATTAACAATACTATTCTCTTTGGACCAAACACAACCTTCCATGACATCCATACCTTCTTTGGGTTAATCACCTCATGGTCAAGCACCCATCTATGAACTAATATCCTTTCATGCATTGCCCTGTGGAGCCTCATGCTCTGCCAACTTTCATGCATTGCCTTGTGGAGTCTCATGCTCTGGAAAAAACCTTTTCTTTTATCATTTCCTTGGGGAGCCTCATACTTTGGCAACCTCATGCATTTACCTGTAGCCTCATGCTCTAGAAACTTTCATGCATTTCCCTATGGAGTCTCATGCTCTGGAAATACCCATTTTATAGGTCTAAATCCTTATATCAAGGCAAAATCCTATAATTCTGCATTGGCTGCACCATCTAATGGTTAACGTCATACTCTTTACTTCAGACACACCTACCTTATGGATTCAAACAACATACAATGGTTCAAATAATACTTTCACCACACCACAACAACTCTTTCATAATTCAAGTTCTTTCTTTTCTTATTCAATCAACTCTTTCTTTTCCTCTTGACACTTAAACTTTTTGTAAAAAAAACTTTTCTTTCTTTTCAAAAGAGAACTATTATAATCCGTTCCTTAGTAGTCAGACTAAAAGCTTGGAGCATCTGAACTAGGACCAAATCAGCTGACGTCTACACACTTCTAGGATACGATTATAATTGTTCTCCTAAAAACAACAAACACACACTTATTTTCTACTCCGAACTACAGAGTTCTAATTTTATCATTGCACTATGAGGACACGTAGGTATGAGGGCCTCAATCTTTCACAAGTACACTAATTATAAACTTATATTTTCCCTCCTTCGCAAGTAACCTTTAGATAGTAACACCCATTCGCGCAAAGAACAAGTAAAATGGTTCCTGTTGAATAGAACAGGTGTGAGGGATGCTAATACATTCCTCCCGTATAACCGACTTTCTTACCTTTTTCTCTTTTCCCTGAATTTTATCGATCCTTTCCTTTTTCTTCTGAAATAAATAAGATTGGGTGACGACTCTGTTGTATCATCGAGCGTGCAATGAGCACATATATTTTTTTTCACACCGCGACACTAATGCAACACATAGCCACAAACTTACACTCCAAAGTTGAAGACTTAATAATCAATCATGGATGGTTCATTCCTCCAACTTTGCAAATTTGGTTTCCCTATCTTTTTGGTCACATAAACAAAATATTTAGTCCATTGGATCCTAAAGATAACAAATTAACATGGAAACACACCACTTCTGGTTTGTTCTCCTTTCAAGAAGCCTATTCCTTTGCTTTCAATCATCACCATCTAGTGGCTTGGACTAAGATCATTTGGAATCAAGTTATCCCTCCTTCACATTCCACCTTAATGGGGAGAATCTTTCATAAGAAAATTCCAACTGATGATAATCTATCAGTTAGAGGTTGTAACCTTCCATCCATGTGCTCTCTTTTCAAAACCTCATAAGAAAATGCTAGGCATCTTTTCATTACCTGCCCTTTTTTCTCTCTTCGTCTTGGCTTCAGAGCATCATCAACCATTCCATTAATTTCAACTCTTACACCTTCCTTGAATATTTGGAAAAGAGTTTGAGTCCATAATGTGCTTTGGTCATAACTGGAACTGTCATAGAAACTTACAAAGCAATTTAGCAATTTAGCATTGAAGGAGAGGGAGAGAGAGGTGTACTGTTGCCGTCGATTAGAGAGAAATGGTGGTGGTGCAACGGTTTTGGGACAGAGTGTGGTGGCCCTCACGGTTCAATTTTTATTAAAATGATGTATATTATTTATAAGTTCATGAAAAAAAAATACAAGAAAATTAATAACATGAATAGAAAGCTAATTGAAAAACTAGTTACTATTATTTCTGGCCCTCATTCTACAACCCCATGATGATGCACCTCCCTCACCTCTTTGAGATCTTCTATTCAACTCAACAATTTGTTCCATCCATTTACTTCTTCTCAAATCACCCAATAACTTTGAATCATACTCTTCTTTAAGCTTTGGATCCGACAGAGTCTTATAAGCTGCATTAACTTGTACAAACATTCTAGTTGATTCCTCTTTCTTCATACGATCATGACAAACATCAGGATGATACTGAAGAGCCATTCTTCTATATGCTCTCTTTATCTCATCTGCTGTTGCTCTATTGGAACTCAAACATAGTATCTTGTACAAGTTTCCATCATCATCATCTAGCTTATGATTCATTGGAACACTTTTTGTGGCTCTGCATGAAACAGAAAATTGTACTATACGAGGTTGTCTTTGATGATTATTTGAAAGTTGAAGGTTATGATGATGTTTGTATGGTTTTGAAATGTTGATTAAGCTTGAGCTTGAGTTTAAGGATAGTAAAACATTCATCTTGTTTCTTGTTTTTCTATCTGTTTTTTTGAGAATGCATGTGAGTGTTGTGTTCTCTTATTTATAGATTATAGATAATAGATAATAGAATGTTAGTTTTATAATATTCGTCTAATAAATAATAAATAAGGTAGTGACAGTGACATCTACCTATAAAAGTTTGTTAAATATGATAGAACATTATTCAAACAAATGACATTAGGATAATGTTTTGTAGCTGGAATGGAAAGAGACATGCAGCTACAATATTGGTTACTGCATAATTGTTGACCTAACTAAACAAGTCATTCATAACTATGTTTTCGGAGATCAATCTCATCACGGATCATGCAGGATGTTAAAGTGTTAACTTTATTTAAAAGTGCTTACTTTATTGCACAACAAAATAAGTTGGGTGACATTATTCTCCCTTTAGTCATTAGGCAATATCTAGTTTAAGAAATGTTAGACCTCCCTAATTTTAGGTTTTGTTAATTCTGTTTTCTAAAATCAAATCTTAGTCTTGGACCATGTAGGATATTTAATGTAGGATATTTAAAGTTAACACCATTAAAAGTTGAGAATTTTTTATTGCATTTTATATATTTTTAGCGTATCGTATGAATTTTTAAATATGTTCTCAGATTTTGGAGATATATCTCTAGACACGTCTTTTGTATATTTAATAAATACAATGTTAAGAGACATCCTATATGTTAGGTTGAATTTGTTTCGAAGATGCATCTCCAAGTGATATTTGTAGTTTTTTTTTTTTAATCCAAATATATTCATCAACAAGATATTAGGGATACCCCAACCCACTTATATCCAACAATCCAAAATAGTTTACACCAACATTAAATAAAATCTAATGGTTGTTTATACCAATCATAAAAGTTACAACAAAGTCTACTTTTAGATAATGTTAGAATTCACCACCAAGATAAATACATGATTCTTACCACGATCGACTCTGAATCTCCAACCACATCATTGAACATTACTTGACTTCTATCCCACCAAATTTTTTGGTGTAGATCTATCGTTAACCCCTCGAGTTCCCAGTCATACACAAATTTTCTTCCAAACAATCATTGACAAAGAACAAGTGATAAAAATGTGGGTTGAATCTTCCATTGGACCAAAGAAAAATCCACAAATAAGACATGAGGGATAGAAATAATGCCACGACGAAAGAGATTAACTCTCATAGGCAACCTGTTGTGAATCGGATGTCTTGAAACAAAGTATAGATGGTTTCTTTATGATCAAGAAACACACAAGGGTTAGAGTTAACAAAAAAAAGTAAGGTAAAACAACAAGGAACAACAAGGATTGGGTATAAACATCTATTTTTTCCTTACTCTTAGAACAAGATTACAAGTATACAAGAATAACAAAATAACCTCAATCTCTTGAAATTAGGATTTTATCTTCCTATTTTTCCTTATATCAAGATTGAGAAACTAGCATCCTATTTATAAGAAAAATATCACACTAACCTAATGGGAATTTTAACAACTACCCATTACAAGCTAACTTAGGGTACAAGCTAACTTAAACAATTGGGCTTACACGTAAGGCCCAATTCAACATGCTAACAACCCTAGCAATATTAACTAATGCATGTTAGAACAAACTTCGACTACAACACGTATTACTCCGACAGCAGCATGCTAAAAAACATACTTCGACCTCATGCTTAATTCCTATCGAACCAGAAGTTAGCCTTCGACCATACTAGAGTTTAATCCAACATCTCACAAATCTCCAACTTTGATCTAACTCTATAACATCAAGAAACTAGCTTTCTTCATGCAGCTTTATCAACTGCATACAATGGAAAAACCTGCAACTAGGCAACATCTTGTGATCATATCAGCAACATTATGATTTGTCGAAACCTTCAGCACTTGGACTTCTCCATGCTCGATTACCCCTCTGACGAAATGCAGCCTCACATCAATGTGCTTGGTTCGCTCATGATAGGCTGAATTCTTCGACAGGTGTATTGCACTTTGACTATCACATTTAATAGTGATAACTCGACCTTGAAGTTTTAGCTCATTTGCAAAACCTTCAAGTCACAATGCTTCCTTCACAACTTCAGTTACCGCAATATATTTCGCTTCAGTGGTTGATAAGGTAACGACCTTCTGAAGTGTTACTTTCCAACTGATTGTTGTCCCAAACATAGTGAACACATATCCAGAAAGAGATTTTCTAGAATCCATACAACCTGCATAATCAGAGTCGACATATCCTTCGATTGTTGCTTTAACATCTTCACCTAAGGCTCCACCATAAATTATGACTCTATTCATAGACCCATTTATGTACCTTAGAATCCACTTCAATGCTTGCCAGTGAGCCTTTCTAGGATTCGTCATGTACCTGTTTACAAGACTTACTGCATATGTTATGTCGGGTCTAGTACAGACCATAACATACATCAAAGAACCCACTATATTAGCATATGGAACGCTATTCATATAATTTCTTTCAACATCAGTGTTGGGACACTAATCTATACTCAACTTGAATTGAGGGTTTGTCTGAGTCACAACAGGCTTTGAATTCGACATACCAAACTTTTTAAGAACCTTTCGTAGGTATGCCTCTTGAGATAAGCATAACTTCGTCTACTTTCTATCTCTTCGGATGTCAATCCCATGAATCCTGGACACAGCTCCAAGATCCTTCATGTAGAACTCCTTATTGAGTTCAGCCTTCACCCTCATTACCTCTTCGACATTGTTGCTTTCTATTAGAATATCATCCACATAGAGGAACAACATAACAAATGAATTACCTGGTCGAAATCAGAAGTAAACACAGTGGTCGAACTGACTTCTGATGAAACTTATGCGTGCCATGAACTTTTCGAATCTCCTATTTCACTGTCGAGAATATTTTTTCAGTCCATATAAGGATCTATTCAGCTTGCACACATAATCTTCCTTCCCTTTTTCGACATACCCTTCAAGTTGCCTCATTAGGATTGTTTTATCTAAATCACCATACAAGAGCGCAATATTCACATCCATTTGTTCCAGCTCAAGGTCGAACTGTACCACTGTGGAAAGCAACCTTTGAATGGATATGTGCTTAACAATAGGAGAGAACACATCATTAAAGTCGACACCTTCTGTTTGAGTGAACCCCCTAGCAACCAATCTTGTCTTGTATCTCTTCGACATCACTCTTTCGTTTCCTTCCTTAACTTTGAAAATCCATTTACAACTGACTAACCATGCTCCAGCAGGTTTCTTGATCAGTTCCCAGGTATTGTTATCATGAAGAGATTTCATCTCATCATCCATGGCCTTCATCCATTCAGTCTTCTTTTGACTCCTTATAACTTCCTTATAGTCTCTAGGTTCTTTGTCTAGAACCTCACTTGCAAAGATTAAGGCATAAGTTATAAGATCTGTATACCCAAGTCTCTGAGGTGGCTTGATGACTCTCCTCGACCTGTATCTTGCTAGCAGGTAGTCATTATCAGTATCCTCATCTTCGATAACATATTCTGCGTCTTCTTCGACTTCATTTGGGGTACGTAATTCAGCATCAACATGCTCCACCTCAGTAGGAATCTCTCCATGTTCCAGCTCTTCGTCAGCATCATTAGTTTTCTTGAAATCCATCTCTGCTTCATTTGAAAGCTACATCTCGACTGGTGATACACCTCCTGTGACCTGGCTCTAGGCACCATAACATGTATGATTTGACTCCTTTAGGGTATCTCATGAACATGCATTTCAGAGCTCTAGGTTCGACCTTGTCTTGCCTAATATGAGCATAGGCCACGTGTTGCACCCTAAAATTTGACCAACTGATTCTCCTATCTGACTCATGGTTTAATTTCATATTCACAGCTCAGATGTATGATTTTTGTGCACAAGCAGGGGATATCAGAGTTTACAGCTTGATTTTTGTCTATCAGATATGGCAGACCCAGTCCAGATCACCAGGGTTTTATTTTCGGGAAATTGTGCGCTCCTCGGTGATTTTTAGCTTGCACAGTGATTTTGATGATATTCTGATGCCCGGGGATCTCTGTTCGATTCGATCTGGTCTCGTGCGCTCTTTTATGGGGGTCATTTGCATTCATCTGCATTTTAGGGTTTTAATAGGCTTTTGTGAATTTTTAACAGGCTTTATAGATTTTTCTGGAATTTAAATAGGGTTTTTGAATATTTTAATAGCTTAATCCTCTTTTTAGAATTTTATAGAATATTTTAAATAGATTTTAATCATTTGTAGAATTTTTAATAGAATTTAAATAGCTTTTATCATTTTTAGAATATTAGTGAATTTTTCTTAGCATATTAAATAGAATGATAAAAATTAGGATTAGTAGAGTTTTAATTGTTTTTAGATAATATAGAGAATAATATAGTTTTTCTTTTATTAATAATAGATTTACTAGTTTTAAATAATATTAGAATTTTAATAGAGAATTAGTAGGAGTTTAGAATTAATTAGAGCATTAATCTCTTTTTTAGAGTTTAATTAGATATTAATTGTTTTTTTAGGATAATATAGAAATTAGGTTAATTGATTTTTTTTTAGAGTTAATTAGATCTTAATTGATTTTTAGATTTTATTAGGATTAATCATTAGTTAATTAGGTGTTAATTGTTTTGATTAGATATAATTAGGTTTAGTTAATTGTTGTTTAATTCAGTTTTTTACAATTTTTTTCATTCAGTTCGTGGGCCCAGGAGGAGTCTTTTGAGGCCCAGATCTCATCAGTCCAGAAAAAGTCCAAAAAAAAAGGAAAGTTCAGTTCGTCCAGCAATCCAGATTTCTCCAGGGGCTTCTAGAAGATTCTAGCAGTTTCAGTGCAATAAATAGTGCCAGCCACGTGTTGCGTGGAAGGAGGCCCACGCGTTGTGCATGCAATCACCCACCACACACTCAGAATTTCCCCAGACTCTCCCACGTGTCCCCAGCTGTCCCCCACTCCCTCTCTCTCTGCGCATGCGCGCCACCTGTCTTCCCCACACCCATCGCCT